TTACCTGAGTGGAAGTTGTCATCTGGAATGAGTTACTCTAGTTCTGGTTTTCTAACTTAAAATCACTTTGACTGATGACAGTTTTCAAGGCTATTGCCACCCAGAGGATTCAACCCACTTTTGATCATGAGTCTGTTACTGGACCTTATCTACCAATTATTGATAGAGAGAGTTTTAGAGATCTGATAGAAAGGGGATCCAGACTGGCAAACAGTCCCCTGAGATTCACTACTGATGAGGAGTGCAAACACAGAATGAAGTACAATGTGTTGTTTTAACCTTTCACTCCCAAGATCTGATTGTTAATTCTCCCTTCCAAGTGCTCTACATTTCTCTATAGATACATTTTGAGAATTTAGTGTTAGATCAAGATAACAACTTCTACCTGATAAGTTTGAGTATTCTCATCACCTGTTTGCTGGATAATTCATGGATATTATTGGGAGAAGTTACTTGTAAATCATTTCTTGGAGTTGAAGGGTTAAATTCTATACACAATCTTATTTTCAGGAACTGAATTATCAATGGAACTAGGAGTAAAAGAAAAGGAATACACAACAAAAATTGGATCAGCCGATGAATCTAATGTTGCATTAGAAGCATCTGATGTAAAATTAGTAAAAGACAAAGTTTCAGCAGGGACAGCTGTTGATGCTTATGAAGAAATTACAAAGAGTGAAGTCACATCGTTAGATGATTGGGAGGACGTTCATAGATCATGCTTGTCGGAAATCCCACCAATTGATCCAGAAATCTTGAATGATTTAGAGATAAGGGCTAGTGACGTAGCAGGGAACTTGGATCACATGCTCAAAGCTTTAGCCAACAGTTTGAAAGCCATGTCCCAAGTGAGCACAGATTGCCTGAGTGCTTATGATACTTGTGTTGATCATGTGAGCGAGGCAGTGGATGTGAACATTAAATCTATGTACACTCTGATTGCAAGATGTGAAGAACTGAATGCAAGCCTCAAACCAGTTCAACACTTGGCTGAACAAGTAAAGGAAATTAAGAGAACATTAGATGTTTTTGAAGCAGTTTGCAAGTGATTGTGGACTAAGATATTCTTTTACATTCAAGGCTTCAGTGTTCTCTGCACAGATCTTTCTATCAGTGTTAATTTTGTATCAGGGTATCCATGTTAATTAGTTAAGGTTTGTCTACTTTCAAGAGCAAAAATAATATCCCTGCTTCTTCACTCAATGGCTGTCATCAACACTGACCCTTTGGCCTGATTAAGAGTGACTAGTTACTAATTTCTCGTAATATTATCACTGAATCATTCATTAAGGTCACAAAATAAAAGAAATGTTCACTGTTCAGGTAAAAGAGTTAATAATGTATTTTGAAACGTATGGAAACATCATGAAGAATATACATACTGATTTTAGGGTGTAAAAAGTTATAGCCTGATTTTCTCAATTTTTAGCCGAATTGATAAAATTTAGTCATGGAAAGTCTCAGTATAGATAGCTCCTCTTTTTTACCATTTCAATTAACAGTGAAAACAGATCAGCCAGACAATTTCATAAAATTAATTTATTGTAAACCATGTATCACTAGAAACTGTAAATACAGTGTAAAAAAAAAAAAAAATGCTGTACCAATACAATGTATGTCCCACAAGCATGCATGGTGATGAATTCAGTGAGCAGTTTTTGTTGCTTAACCCTTAAACTCCATGGAGTGACCAAGAGAGAATTTCTACATGCAATATGTATGAAGGGGTTCTTGATTGCTAAACAAATTCTTGTTGTCAGCATGTTAGCATGGGGAAGCATGTACAAATTTTACAAACTGTAAAGAAAGTACAAACAAAACAGAACCACACCATAAGGCTTTTTCTTTTATTGTGTGTATTATTATTAGTGTTATATAATAGGTTGTGGTTATTCAGTGTGGTAAATAGCACTTTGTTTCTCTCTACACAAAAAAACACAAAGACACTGACCACCACCACTGAACCCCCACCAAGTTCAGATCCACCCCAGTTCTGCTCTAAGTCAAATTCTTTGTTGGATGCAGACCACAGAGGAAAACTGATCTGAAAGATGTACCTATCACAGCCCTGGAATTCCATCCAATCACAGCAGAGCACAACAGGATAAAGGTGACATGTACTCAACTGACTCCATCACATGAAGAAGACCAGCAGTATGCAATAAAAACCTCACAACCCACATCTGAAGTGACTACTTTGTGAGACAAACAAATATATCATTCCATTGAAGTATTACTATTGACTGTAAACATATGGAAAATCATATGTGAACTGCAGACAAAGAAATGAATATAGAAACAATCATCACAGTAATGAACATTACTTAAGCAGTAGTGAAGATAAGGCCTAAAAAAATTCAGGCCTGTATGGGATTTTGACTCATGACCTCTGCAATACTGGTGCAGTGCACTACCAACTGAGCTAACAAGCCAAATGGGAGGTCATGAGTTCTAATTCTGTACAGGATCCCTCACCTCCACCCTCAGACAATACCAAGGGTATTTTAACTTTTCAAAGTTGGTGGGTTCAAATTCTGCCCCTTAAGGCCAAAATTTCATTCAAATGCCCCAATTTTAATTTACTAAAAAAATGGACAATGAAATCTGGCACTTGAAAGTGCCAGATTTCATCATACATTTTTTTTTGGTAAAAATTAAGATCAGAAACTGTAACTTTCTTGAAAAGGTTTTCTTCTACACCATCTGCTCACCAAAGTGAACTTTTTACATTTCAACACCTCCATATTAAAAGATAAATCATGTATATTCAGCTGAAAAAGACTTGACAGTTCAGGTTAAAATTCCCCTCTCATTCAAGCAAAGTTCAATTTCCTCCCCCCCTGGGCACAGATAACACTCTCAAATGCCAGTGGGTCACCAGGGGGAGGATGTTGAAGCTTCAAATTAATCATTCTTTTTTTCTTTCATTTGACATATTTAAGCAACTTAACTGAACTGGCGGTTAACTTGAAAACTAATCACTTATTTAGCCTCCAGGCTCTTCATTAGAGCAATTTATCAGTGTGTTAAAATTATTTTTAGTTATTGTTAATCTGTTATGTACAAGAGTGAATTAAGTATAAATATATATTTTAAAATGTATGGAAACAGCATGGAGAATATACATACTGATTTTAAGGTGTAAAAGCTATAGCCTAACTTTCTCAATGTTTCACCAAATTGATAAAATTTAGTCACGAAAGGTCTCGATATGAACAGCTCCTCTCTTTTAATATTTAAGTTACCAACAAAAACAGATCAGCCAGAGAATTTCATAAAATTCATTTACTATAAACCATGCATCACTAGAAACTGT